AGCGGTCTCTTGATTACTCCTTGGCATCCAGTGAGAATCAACGGTACCTGGATTTTTCCAGATGATATTGGAAAAAGAATTGAAATAGAGTGTGAGTCGGTATTCAATTTAGTGTTGAATAGCGGACATATCGCCCTAATCAATGGTAGTGAATGTGTGACACTCGGTCATGGTTTTAAAGAAGATGTAGTAGCACATGAATACTATGGTACAAAGAAGGTTTTAGATGATTTGCGTGAGTTTGATGGTTTTGATGAGGGTCACGTGATAATCAAGCCTCAATGGATAAAACGAGATCAGAAGACGGGATTGGTGCGTGGAATGCAACGTGAGGAAATGGAGATTATAGTTTCACAATATCATCCGATAATTCAATCGACTTTTTAAATTTTCTATTTATTATACATAAATATTTTTCTGAATTAAAAACATTCAAGAATGGTCTTTTAAATGACCAGAAAGCATGTGTGATTAAACGATTTGAGAAAACTGCAAAGTAATGCAGTTTTCATGTGGAAAAAAGGATAAGGTATTAAAGAGAAAGTGATAGGACTAAAAACAAGTAGTCATTAAACCCTTGTGGAATGAACTGCGTATAGAAGACAGAGCGCTATTCTTCGTTAGTAGAGTTGGAACCAGACCGGCGGGTCATCGGTTACCGGTCCGGTTAAACTTTTCAACCAGTCGGTTAACATCTATAAAAAGGCATAGCCAGCCTCAATTTCTTTACCATTTCCAGTTACGTTTACTTTTCAGCTTTCTGCAAAGATCGATTTTTCACAAATTCGGACTTTAATTTGCTATGAAATCGATCGGTTTTTTACCGGTTGAACTACGCATTAAACTGGGCGGTCCGCTCCGGTTACGAAGAAATCAACCGATTCTGTAATTTTTGTCTCTAAAACCAAAAATCAAAAATCTATTACGCAGATTTGTAGCAGTCTGCGTTTCGTTAATGAAGAATCACCTTATAGACGCTATTATTTGACTCATCATATAGCTTGCATCGGAATGGCGAAAATACTTCTTGATTTTCAAATTTGATCTAAACCTTTTAGTAGATGGTACAACGATCTATCAAGTTGCATATCAATGAGGAAATCTTGATGTTGCATACGTAGTTCTACCCAAGCGTCAAAAAAAAATCTAGTATCGCCCGATTTATCTAGATGACTAGATTTTTACTCAGTTGCAACTACTGTGTAACGACAGTGGAAATCTAGTAATTGGGCGATTACTAGATTTTTTCTAGTTGCAACTATCGATTTATCGCCCGATAATCGATCGATTTAACTGTTGCTAGATGCACCTGCAGATGCATCTAGTTAAAAGTCCCTTTTCCAACTAGTAATCTAGATGACAACTAGTCGGATATCACCCGATTACAGACGAAATGTATCTAGATTTTTCTTATAGGTGATATTTGCTTGGGTACCCCGATAGATTTGGGATTACGTTAAAAACACTATAAAAAACCAGTGCGCCTTATCGCGGTATTCATCTGTATCGTGACAAACAGTAGGATATCGCGAAATTGATGCATATCGCGATACATCCCGATAAAAAAGCATTATGATTTATCTAACTACTACTTCTATTCCGATATTTCAACAATTTAACGCGATACGAATCAATATCGCGATGTTGATTGATAAATATTTATCGCGACCGAAGGGAACATTGTTTTGCATCGTGATAAACCATACAGATAACGCGGTAATAACTGACATCGCCGTCTGACAGATCGCGATCTAGAATTCATCTCGATAAACAATGTAGATATCGCGATATGTACCATGATCAACGCCCTTATGGCGATATATCGGCGATTTCTCGGTTTAAAAATCCTCAAGGGAAATATTCCTCGTCGAGGCTAAGTTCCCATTTCGAGCCTCAAGCTGTCACTACTCGAGGTTGCATCACCGTTCCGCTGGACTTGTGCGAATGTCAACACAGCCCTACTTGCCACCGAACGCAGGACTTGCGCTTGTCACCGAATCTGTAGATCGTCGAGGCCAAGTGCTCGTTCGGCCTTCGAGTTGCCACCCTCGAAGCTGCTTTGACTTGCCTAAATGTGGACGGTGTAGTTGGTCGAGGCAAAGTCGTTCATTTGAAGCCTCTTGGTTGCCACCACCAAAGGCCAATCGTCAAATTGCTCGAAGAGGAGAGTTACCATCCCTTGAGTAAACATACGACGCAGCACGCCATTGTGCCGTTTCTTTTTTCATTGTCTTGTGATTTGCCTAGTCGACGATCGATAAACTTCTGAGCCAAATAAATCTTTCATCACCCGAACCGCACCGCATCGTGATGGAAAAGACGACCGGCCGGCTAGTGTACCAATTGTGATGTTCTACTCACTCACTTCTCATCTTTATATAAGAAAGTGAACGGCTATATATAGTACACAAGTTGAACAAGAGTTATGTAAGAGTTGCGCAGGAATTGCACAATAACAGAAAGAGTTGGGAAAACCAGAGCCTAACACAAGTATTGCGCAAGAACAGAAAGAAAGGAAAAGAAGAAGAAAACACAGTCTTATGAGCTGCCAGGAGTGGCAGATCATAACACTTTTGGATATCTACACTGTAATTTGGAATTAATTTCTAGTTTATAGAAAATCGATCTGGAAAATCATGGAGCTTTTTCTGATATTTATATAAATAATGAAGTTAATAATAAATAAGGAAGTAAATAAAAAAAGCATCTTTCAAAAGATAAATAATAAACACCAACACTTGAGAGCATTCTTAACCTAGAAGTCCGTCAGGTTTACGCAATCCCAGAGAATCCTTTTCTTTTGCCATTTAATGTTTCAAGTCTCTGCCTCTCGGAGTATGCTAAAATATCTAACACGACATCATATAATTACATAAAAGCCTGAAAAATCCTCTGCGATATTCCAAATAATTGGAAATTCCTCACGGATTTTCCAGATAACTGGAAATTAATTTCATTTTTCGAATTTCCAAAAGTCCATATATAAAATCGCCGAGGAATTTCCAGATTGAAAATCACTGAGCATTTTCCATAATTCTAGAAAATCGAACTGGAAATTCAACCTCGATTTTGCAGAATTCTGGAAATTCGACCTCGAATTTCAAGAATCTTGGGAATTATTTATAGAAATTCGACCTCGATTTTCCAGAAATTCGGTTTTCTAGAATCTAGAAAATCCTCAGGGAATTTATATATAGACTTTTTGAAAATCGCCGAGCATTTTCTATAAATAATTCCCGACATTACAGTGTACAACAAAAATAATTTTAGACACTCAAAATTAAGCAGTTTTCTAAGGCTTACAACAAACCATGGGTTTTTTTGACATCTTCAAAAACAAAATCAAGTAATACTCGACAATGATTTGTATGGCCATTTAGTCGTGTTAAATCTTTTTCGTCCACAAGCAGTTGTATTTCAACTGGCAATTCATAATCGTTTGGTATTTGTTTTTCTGTTATTCTTGCTTCATCTTCTTGCTCATATTTATTAAGTAGATTATTATCGTTCAGCATTGTTGTAGTAATTTGTTGTAGGTTTGTAACTTCGTTGTCTACAGGAATCGGTTCATCGTCAAAGATAGCACCAGCAGATGACAGTGAATTGTTTCCATCATTTAACTGCGATTGTGGCTGTCGTTCTAATGAATATAGTCTAAATTGTTCCAAATTTTCACACCCGTTAATACTCTTAATCAGTTTGTCTCGCTCCTCGGTGAATTTCATTCGATCTTTTAATTTTGGGAAAATTATTCTTATTTCTTCGAACGGTAATCGGGATAACATTTCCCCATTAACTTCTTCGTCTAAACAGCATAAAAACAAAATACTGAACGAATCACATAGAATATCAAAAATACTACGAAAGGTTCGAAGAAAAAGTAGTTCAAATGTCGTGCCAAAGGGCGTGTCTGATTGGTCTACTCACTTTCACCAGAAAATTTAAGAAAGTTTTGTCCCATGGGATTAGAAGAAAAGAGTCTACACAAAATGGAAAGCCATCAATTAACTGTATTTTCGAAATTTCAATTTTCCTTCAGCGTCGCAGGATCTTGATTTCGGTTCAAAATCACTATCTCCGATTTAATTTCCACACAGTATTTTTATCAGATTATTCTGTAACAGGATCGCGAGACTTACATATCATGCTAAGTCAAATTGTTAGACGGGTTAAAACATAAATGTACGGAGTATCTTCAACGTAATAAACGTCGAGCCCATGGGGTAAAATATGTAGACATAGATCAAGATCCAAGATACTCAAAAAATACCGAGATAGTCGATTGCATAGCTCCAAAGCTTTTCGTTGAAAGACGCCGTATTTAAGTGCTCGACAAGTAATTTCCATGTATCTTTAACTTTTAATATTTGTCGAATATAAACAAAACATGGAATTTCCTCTTCATGCACCAACTTTAATACGAAGGCTGATTCTTTTACGATTTTAACATGATCATGGCTTATTGTTTTGCATTCGATATAGATTAGTTCACCAATACTATTTTCATTCAGTAAACGTTGAACTTGTAAAGATAATTCAGAATGTTGAATTGTTTTTTCCCAGGTTGTTTCGTCGGTAATATTGTAAAAAGTTTTATTTGTAATAAAAGGCATTGTCGAAGTTGATGTATTTTGACCAAAGTCAATGATGGATTCTTAAAATTGAATGATCGAATGGCTAATTGCTTGAAGTACAAATGTTTTCCCTCAAATCGATTACAGTCGTAGCCCGTCGGCGGTCCATTCATTGCAATTAAACAGGGATATTCTGTGACGAAATGCACTTTCGCAATAATATTGTTCGGTAGCTTGTTCACCATTAACGACTGGAATCTTGTTGTCAATGTTGCTAAATAAGGTAACCAACGTCTTCTTATCTTGGTACTATATAATATACTAATGATTTCCCGTAAACAAACATAAATATATAATGTATCTACTAGTCGGTCAATGATGTCATGTAAAATTATTGGTATCAGTTTAAATATACACATTTTTTGACTAGCGGAACCAACAATATGCCCATTAGCGAGATGCTTAACACGGATGATCGGGGCTTTATTGCTTGCGTCGTTCACACCATACTGGAATGATTGCATTCGTTCTTCTATGCTAGCATATGTTAAAATGTGTCTACTTGATGCCTCTTTCAACATAGCGAGCACAACTAAAGGACACACGCCTAAATAAAATCCAGTTAAAACACGTTTTTTCTTTCATTCAACACAACATATTAAAGTCTGGGACAAATCTCGCTTCTGGGGCATAAATGAAGTAGGAAATGCAAATGAAGGTGTTGTTTTTTCATACCTTCCGCAAAGTCATGCATCAGGTCAAACGGTAAACTGTTTACAGGATGAAATCCAACTAATTTAGCCAGAAAACTTTCGCCTGTAACACCAGATAGTATTGGTTTATCTTTTGATTGCATAAGTTGTTCTAGTTTCTGCTGATGGCTTGCTCTTGTTCGTGGCATGAAAGAAATATCGGTCAGAGGAATGGATTTGCGTCTGAACGAAATGTAACACAGACGGCAGAAATATCCTGAACTAAAGTTACGTTGAAATCCACCAACTTCGTTCGATGCTAAATGGTCAGCTGCTAACACTGTGAACGAAAAATATACTCGACCATCAAATGTACCAACATTTATTCCCGATGTTTGAAGTGTATTCAGATCTGTAACAATTGGTTCAAAATAACTGCGACGATTCGATTCTGTGGATAGCAGTTTTGTTAAACATATTTCGATGAGGCCGATAGACTGAAGTATTGATCTTACGACGTCCGGAAGATCTTCTAAAGCGAAATAATATAGCGTTGATTTTTTCTCGTCCTTTTTAGGGCCAATAGGATTCGTTATTCCTATTCCGTCCGTGTAAAGTTACAGGAGGAACGAATTCGGATGTTGTGTTAACGCCGGGTTGGTGCTCGCCGCAAAGCCATCGCGATAAGTTAACATAAGATCTTCATCTTTCTTACTTTGCGAAATAGTTTCATTACAATTTTTAATTAGCAAATCAATGACGTCGGCTTTGCTTAAGAGGCGAGTAATATTTTGTCTGATCGGCACATAATATCCGCAATCACCCTGATCGTTTAGTCGAATTTGTTGTGGTGGTTGATACTGGAAATGTTTCTCACAATTTCTAAGAAACTGGTATTCATTTTTGGTTGTTTCAGATATTATTTTTGTGATGTTATTTATCAGTTTACGAAGATCATTTAGCGATATAGACGAATTCGGAGTTGCTGTATTCGTTGTTTGATTTTCAACAATTTTGTAAATAACAACGGGCAAAAGTGATAAATACACGGTGATGGATTGAATAATCTTTTGAGGGAGCATGTGTCCTTCTCGCAGTTCAAGAAGAAAATGAGTATAATGCTTTTGGAACGAACTGATCGAAAATATATCATTCTCATGTGTGTTACGCTTCCCAGTGAATAGAGGCCAGTCAGTTGTGTGTAGATTCGTGTTTAGCTGTTGTGCTAATTCAATTACGTCGAGATCATTATCTTCAAAGATAATATCCATATTCAATGGTAAATAACTGTCGGTTTCTTGTTCATCGTATAACTCATCCGAAATATTATCGTCAAAAGTAACTGTTCCATGCTGACGACGATCTCGAAAAACGTGGCTCTTATAGCTGTCAAAAGTTGTATATATTCCACCACATGACGGACTAAACTCACAGCGGATACTGAACGACGACTGCCGACTATGAGCTAAATTTATGTGCTCGTAAAGTAACTTGAAAGTATAGTAAGGCTTGGAATTTACGTACAATACGCAAAAATGATAATTTAAACTCGTACTATTTATTAGCCTAAAATAAGGAGGAATTCTGGTCAGAAAAAGGAATAGTTCTAAGAAATCACTGTGTTTGTGTTAAATATATCAAAAACTTGCACTATACTACAAACGAAAAGTCTCAAACACACAATATCAGAAAAGTCCTAAAAGTATTGAGCAACTACGAAAATTTTCTGAAGTACTCCTACAAGGCTTGGTGCGCCAAACATCTCGACGTACACTGACACGCCCTACAAGTTAGGTCCCTTCTATAAAGATTGTGAAGGCCAAAGTTAGTTAAAGCAGCTGTTCCACAATAATTATCAAGTAACTTCGCCTTTAAGGCCTCTGACAACTTATCAGCTACCGACATATGCATAAAAACAGGACAGAAACTTAATCACTCAAACAAATGGAACAAACGGACACACATGATCCCCTACCCTGAAAATATATAATTGTTGCTTGATCATTAACAAATGTTGATAGCCATTTGAAGACGTTCATTTGTTCTAGTTTCATGTTCTAACACACGATAAGTAAATTAGAATGAACCTGAGAAGTGCACGAAAACAATCCGCAGATTTGAAGAAGATTATATCTCTTTTATACAATAAACATATACACGTCTTTCTCACGATATGAAATGGGCAACACATATTCGCGAAGTAGCAACATCTTGTCGAAAACTGCTTGGTGTTATTAATCGAGTTTTTGGAAAAGCGCCTCGGTCAATTTGCTCAGGTCTATATTTTACTTGCGTTTTACCTAAAGTCGATTACTGTAATGCCCTTTGCGATTCTAAATTCACCACACATCTCGAACCATTAGAGGTGGTCCAACGTTTAGCTAGTCGCATTATTACCAGAATCTTCAGTTACGAAACTGAGAGTTTGTCTTTAGTCAATAAACTACGTTTGCCGTTTCCACTAATTCTCTCAGAAACTTTAAAAAGGTCTTAAAACAACATTTTCATCTTTAGTCGTCCTTATTTTCTAATTTTATTTGTGAAAATGATTTATTTCGTTCTTTTGCATTCCTGATCTTTTTTTGTTGTTGGTCACGATAGGCAGAAATTTTGAACTCATGTTTATTTTTTTTTTGTTACAAGTCATTCTTATGTCTGTACTTCTTTTATGTACCATGGTTTGTTACCAAAATAAAAAGAAAGAGGATTTTACAGAATACTGAGTCTGTGTCCGTATTCATATATAAGTTTTATATGTTATATATATATATTTCTAAACGGTTGGTATTCTGAGATAAATGCGCATGTGACATGTGAAAGGCCACGGTCCTGTAACGGTCTCGGTTTGATAACTACGTTATTTTCAATATTTCCTACCCGTTAGTACAGTGTATCGTAGATAATACTCGTAGTCAGCCACGTGTAAGCTTCGTTTCAATATGCTTGTTACACAAAATGTTTTCTTTTCCTGTACGAAAGCAAAAATCCCTAGTAGGGATCGATCAAATAAGATGAGTGAATAAATGACTGTGACTCCTCGTATGCAGACACATAATCGCTTTTTTCTCTTTTCTATTCTATAAATAGAATAGAAAAGAATAAATAGCTATTTATTCCGAAGGTTAGGGCATTTTAAAATGCACTAAATCACGAAAAAAAACTGTCAGCTGTCAAATTGAAAACATGCATTTAGTTTCCGTTTAGTGCATTTTAAAATACTCTAAGCTTTTTTAGAAATAATTTTGAAATCTTTTTAACAAATGTATTTTGTAGAACAAACATTTTTCTACAAAATAAGACGTTCCGCAGTTCTGAGCTAATCTTGATATGCGATGTATAGCAATTCTTCCGGAAACCTCAACACCACTTTTTAATTGGTGTATACCTTATTTCGTGCAGTCGAAAACTATATGCTCTTATTTTAGTCAATATGGGTTAACATAGAAGGATTTCGTAAAATCTTTTCTGTGCTTGTCTATTTTTGTGTTTCTCTTTAACAGTGGTAAAATAATTGAACAAGACTTAGCAGTTGTCATTGATGCAAAGCTACTTGAGCATGAAATAAGATAACTCTACACTTGGAAGTAGTAAAATTGTACTTTTATGGGAAAAAGAGGTCAAACTCTGTAGAATAAGATCGAATTAGTTTTGTAAAATCTGGTTGAATTGCTGAACCATTAGCTAAGGACTGTGCACTAAAGTGTACCGTTTTACATTAAGTGTTTCAAACATATGTCGTAGGCAAAATTAGAGTCCAGTCAGATTTTACCGGCAACACATAGTTTTGACTTTTTTCTGACAATGTTTGAATGGAATCTTGCGAGTCACTGTGGCTCACAAAGGAGCATAAAATGATCACGAATGCGCACGAAGTGATAAAATGATCATTTTACCCACACATAGTCACTTCTGCGTTCTGTTTTCTCTTGCGGTTAGATTACGTTAACGTAATCACTTCGTGCGCATTTGTGATCATTACTGACATAATGAATGACAACACACTTTTATCTTTTGTATAGGTTCTAACTCAGTGTCTCTCTCTTTCTCTTGTGTAATCTCCAAAAATTAATCTGAGTTACACATGTCGGCGTATACCTTGTTTCTTTAATTATACTATTTGATCATAAATTATTCAAGCGAAGTAACAAATCGTAGTGAATAATCACTACATAGCATTCTAAATAAGACGAACGAACACCATATTCGACTATTGTTGTTACATTACAGCTTGTTCAAGTAAGTAGCCTACCCTAGTCGATGTTCTTGTTAAGCAAGAATACAAAATCTTGTGATAATTCTTGCCCAAGAATCGTTTCTCGCGCAGTCTTGACTCTTTCTTGTTCAAGAAAGTATTTTTCATGCGCAAGAAAAATATATGAAAACTTTCTTGTCACAGAAAACTATGTTTTCTGCAACGGCACTTTTCTTGTCATCTCTTGCTGTAACCAGCTTCACTGCAAGAAACAACCCTAGTGAACGTACTTGATACAAGTACTTGATTACTTGATAAGTACTTGGAAAGTATGTAACAAGTTAAGTACTTGAGCAAGAACTTGTTAAGCATCATTACTTGACTTGCTTCAGCCAAGTTCTTGGACAGCTCAGTCACTCTTTTCTTTTGCGTTGACCATTGGTATATAAACACCACAATATCAATTGTTATACACTTAAAATAAACTTGTATATTTCTACTCAGTTGAACAAACTTAGCAGTCGTGCATGTATTTGCTCTACAAAAGTAGAGTATAGCTCCGGAATATCTATAAAATACAAAATAAAAATAAATGGAACAAGTACTTGATTGAACTTTTCCAAGTAAATTTACTTGCAGTGTGTCAGCCAAGTACTTACATTTTACTTATCAAGTACTTTCTCAAGTACTTGACAAGTTGAAGTTCAAGTTCAAATTTATTTTTGCATAAGCAAGGACATCACAAAAGAAACTAAACATTTAGTAACACAAGTAATACTTTTCTAGTCCGATGTACACCGATCATGTAGTCCACATTTTGTATAAGACACTGTGGCAAGTTTGCGTTTGCCACAAGGTCAAGGTGTCTCCAAGGACATTGGCTGGAGCAGTGAGAAAAGCAGATCGCATGGCGAGCTCGCAAGAATTTTTGCAAGCCACGTGACGTGGCTTTACCACACCCACGGCCACGTAACGTGGCCTACCCTTGAAAATCTAGTGTGGCCAAGGCTAATTTTTATTGGGTGTGAATTCAACTGGGAAGTTGGATCAAGAGAGAAAGCATTGCGTTTTTTGCCTATTCTTGCTGGAAGTTGATCACCTGCAAGAAAGCAAGAATAGCCACCATAAATCAAAGAGACTTCTTGCACCAAGAACGCCCTCGCAAGGAAGTCGACTAGGGTACGCATTGAAATTTACGCTCTATTTTTTGGTTATGATTAGTAGGGTAATCCATCGTTAAAGCGTCCGTATCTATCAGATAAACGAGAAATACAAATCGAAAGGACCAGTATAATAAATTATAATTTACTTAGTTTGATGGAATCACGATATGGGATTTTTTACGACTGCGGTGCCCCCAGCGGAACTATTCTTTTTCTGATTTTTCAGACAAGTGCATAATGACTAAGAGACATTCTGGCAAAATTTAGGAAATAGCACCAAAAGCTGCTGAAAATGTTTTAAACTTAAGCTTATGAAAACGAAGAGTACTTTTTTATTTAAAGCTGAATTATTTGATGGAGCATAAAAAGTTGGCTATATGATGCGAATTGGTTAATTACAAGCTGGTTTAGTTGATAGTAGAAAACGTAGAAGGAAAAATCCGAATTTTTCTCATTTTTGTGTTTGTTGCTTCTGATCTGTTACTGTAAACAAATTTCATTTTCAGACACATATGCTAATAGAACTGTCATTTCGGCACATTTTCGATTGTTCTCGAAGAGATAGAAAGTGTTCCGACATTTGCTACGTTGTCCGGTTAGGTCCTTTATTATAGGAATTGGTATACAATTGTGCTTCTGTTCCGGAAAAGTACAATTCGGAATGGCGACAGTATTCAAGTATCAAGTCCTCTCATATTCATCAAAGAGGTATATTCTTTTTTCCTCTCTTCCATCCTCCAATCGAGTTGTGAAAATTGTTCGCGAACTACTCAGCCATGCTCTGGGGCTAGTTTACAGCGAATTTGGCTAAAACGAACACAGACGGCAACGACTCGTCAGCAAAACTTTGTACAGAAAATGATCATTGTAGTTTAAGTACTTCTTCATTGTGTTTCATGATTTAGATTTGGAAGTGTTCCATTGCTAGCTTTGTGCTTTTTGGGTGTGCTCTGTTTAACATTTACAGGCCTGATTGTGATCGCCCTGATTCCTGTGTATTTGAAAACACCTAGTATGCATGAGCGTCTGCGTAAGTTTACCTCGTTTTCACCTTCCAATAATAACAAAGAGAATTCAAAAATGTCTGGCATTAAGATAAGACCAATAAGTTTGTCCGTGTTAAAATAAGACGTCATAAGTCAGTTCGAAATTTGTCGGATTGATTCCTACAAGGCTTTTCGATGTGTCTTACACTCTTGCATATGTATTAAGACTAATATTATTTCACGATCGAGGTATGACCCCAAGTCAAACGCATCTTACAAGATCATGCAAGATCTGTCGTTTTCTAATGAACTCTTGTAACGAGATCTTGTCTTAGGATGTTGTAAGATCCTGCGGAATCTTGTAACTTTATGTCTTAAGATCTTACATGATCAGCTCAAAAGACGTGATAAGATCTTACGAGGCCTTGTAACACGAAAGCGTATGATCTTACAAGATGCAGCCATTGAGAGACGTGACTCATATTTATTTCTTATCACAAGATCATATGATTTCTTGTTATAAGATCTTATATGATCTTGCAAAAACTGATGACTCATTCTTCCCACATAAGTTTTGCTATGATATTGAGTACATATATAACATAGTTCTTAAGATAAGACTTAAGATTTTTTTCTTTCTTCGTCTTCACACATCAGTTGAGCGCAGATAAAGTGCATGACTATAAAGAACGTGGCTAATACGGTCCTAAGGACGCTTGTGTCCTACTTATACCAGACAATATTATGAATAAAGAAAGATACTTTTTCAGAGTGTCTAGAGGAAATTTCTAGAACACGATCAGGCACATAATCTTATAAGCTCTGATGAGTTCTTTTCAGTTCTTGCACGATCATATGATACCTTATACGATCTTATGAGATCTTACAGCTTTATATGTTATCATCTTATAAGATTCTTTTACAAAGACATCATACAAAATCTTACAGGATCTTTTAAGAAATCAAAAGATCTTACAAGACCATAGGAAATCATCATAAACGATTGCTAGTCCTAGGGTCGTTTCTTGAGGAAGTGTGTTTTAAACAATAACTGAGTTTATGCATTGTTTGAGGCTACAACCCTTTGTGCTTTGCGATTTTCTGTTGTATCCTTATCCCTAAATTAGTGAATAATTATTTGCCATAATCACTCTGAATTTTGAACAGATGTGTACCCGAAAATGAATGTACGGCGTGTTTACAAAAAGAATGTTAGTTCGAAAGCGTTTTTCGTCGCTGAAATGACAGAGAGAAAAACAGTAGAAACGCAGCAACGCCACCTGTACACATTCTACTCAATGTTATGTGGAATTCAAATTTAAAGCATTCATCGCTTTGTAGGCAAAGCACATAGGGACAAATCCTTCATGGCTTTTTTATACTATTACGGGTCTTTTCTTTTGGAAAAAGATCGTATTTTGAGATATGAAGACAATCAATTTTAAGTCTTTCTCTTCTTTAGCTGTAACCAATCCAGTTAGTGTTGAACCTATTATAACAAAATCACAGCTAGACACTTCAACAACCACGTTTAGGTTGACAGCTATAACTACAAGTAAGTGATTATTGTCATAAGCCATGTAAATGTGGCGAATGCATAAAGTATAGCTGTAGCCAGTTTCGAATGTTTCACTACCAAAAGCAGGTAGCTGTATCTTAAGGCGTCTCTAACCGCGTGATATGTGGTGAAGCGGATTAAAAGGCTGAAACTCTAAGAACGTTGAAGGTAAGTTGACCAATTGGTTAACCGACATTTTGAGCTAGTTTTAAAAAATGACAAAATATTATATAGAATAAGGTTATCCTTTCGCTCTCACTTCATCCTTATCCTGAAAATGTCACATAACGTATGCTATTTCCAAATATAATTCATTCCTGAGAATGATGATGAAATTTGCATACACTTTTCTCAAACCTGCTCCCGATCACATATATAAATTAATTTTGAGAATAATTTAAGTGTAACCTATGACGAGTCAACAACTCATCATTTTTTAATAAGATGTTCACGTTAGCCTATGGCAGAATTTTATTTCTTTGTTTGTAGTTAAAATCAGATGTTTTTGTTTTTCAGCAATTGAAAACTCGGTATTCGTCATCATCGAGTATGAAGTTTTAGCCAAGGTCGAAATTCCAACAGGCAGTTATTCGAGTAAATACTATCCTGTGTACCAAAACGAGGTACGATATTCGAAAGAGACTCACATGTAACTGTTTCCGTTGTATGCAGCTATCGATAGAATGAATTATCATTTTCCTTCCAGAAACTCTCTTGACCGCAGCAAAAACTTAGCGAGTACTTTTAGAGAGAGGAACTGAGATAAGAGAAACAGAGAGAGAACTGCGAGTCCTGCAACTTCCCTAAGTAGCAAAGCTGACCGTCGTTCTAGTACGGTTGCCTCTGACTATGTTTCAAGAATAGTCTACACTAAAAATTAACGCACACGCGGAAAGGCTTCATGCATTCCCAAACATGAAACTATATGAAGCGCTGATTCATTTCTGTGGAATGAGTTCCACACTCCTGAACCCTTTTCTGCTTCGGAAACCCTTTTCGTCTGGTTCGTCTTTTTTCTCGGATACTTTTTAAAAGTAGTTTTCGAAGCCTCGAAAACACTTCTTCATTCCATATAGTTTTCATGTCCAGAAACCCACAAAAATAGGTTTCGGAACGGGTTTCGTGAAAAATGGCATAACTGTTTTATATTGTACTGTCTAGGAATATTATTATTACGTTTCGGCATCTACTTTGATGAAAGGGCAGAAAACGTTCATCATTATTACTCTCTCCAGGCGAGAATTCAACGTAACAAAAATCAACACACTGGAAAAATATACGCCATTGTAGAGAGGTGAGATCGTTGCTACGTACTGTAGTCCGATCTTATGTTAGCTAACCTTAGACAACGACAACTTGCTGTGTACTCGAGATACTGAAACAAAATCCCTCATTGTATTGTGTTCTCGAAGACAAAACTGAGTAAAAGAGAATGAAACCGATATACTGGATGATTAGTTGAAGTTGAGTGAGAGGAAATAGGGTGGCCATAAAACAACATTAAATTTTTGAACAATCCTAGGTATTCTGACGATCTGCCGCAACTGAATTTTGATTTTTACATGAAAAAACTTAAAACAAAGGGTTCTTTCGCAAAAACAAAGTATTCCAAAACCCGAAGAGTTTTGCAGAAAATTTTCCAGATATTGAATAGAGTATTATCGAAAACTAAAACGAATATATTTGCGTACCCTTCCGTTTTTCAACGAAATTTTAGGCTCCAAAAGGGTTTCTCACAATACTATTTCGGTTTTTGGAGGATACCCTTTCCGTACAGAACATTTTGCTGAGAAATCTTCTGTACGAAAAAGCGGTTTCATGAATTCCTTGAAGAAGAATGATTAGAGGGAGAAAACTTTATTCTTTTCCATTTTTCATAGATGGCAGATCAACTAGACATTTCTCCGAACACGATGCAAATCGTCAGTATACAACTGTCAAACGATGAAGAGAAATCTCGCCAACCATTTCTGTATGTATTATGCTATAAATACAAGTAACATAAAACTTTCTCCCTAATAATAGTTTGAAGTGTTTCTATAAAACCGCTCCTACAACACAAAGTACCTTCATTAATCGTCATTTTTCTTCCAATTTACTCGATAAATTTACTCGGTTTGAAAACTTTCCATGGTAATGAAACGCGGAAAGTATCACGCGCCTAGAAAGATGACCGTATATACAACTTTCATCTGTAACGTTTTCTATCTGTTTGAATATCACTTTTGTCATAGATTGTCTCGTAAACGTCGTCAGACTGAATCGCAGACGCTGACCATATATGCACAATTCGACTTTCCCGAAAACTGTACTACTGAATACTGTCACCTCGAATTCAGTCATAGTATATTAGAAAAACTACTCAGATCGAAACTTATCACCCTCCATCTACACTTTCCCAATGGCACCACTCGTGCTGTCAAACTGCGACTAACAACAGTTCGTCAACCAAGTGAGAAAAATTTCTACCGCGTACATCAGCTACAACCACTTTTCTATCACAGAATACCCAAACATCACAGCAGAAACACCAACAACAGCAATTTCAACTATGCCACATGAAACAGAACACAAAACAACAAGTAACTATCGCTACATACCGAACCTCGGTATACTCTTAACCCTTTGAGACTTCTACTGAACCAGATTTGATGAAACTTGGTATAAACCAACTAGGTGATATTAGGAAGCATGTGGTTAAATTACAATTAAAGCAAGCACATGATCCCCAGGTATGCACCAGTTAAAAACTGGCGCTGGGACTTCCGGGAGAATTGCTATACATCAGTAATCACGATTCGCTCAGAGCTGTGAAACGTCTCATTTTTTAGAAAAATGTTTGCTCTATCAAATGCATTTGTTAAAAAGATTCCAAACGTATTACTGACAAAACTCAGAGCATTCGAAAATACATTAAATCACGTAAAAATAACTGGTAGGCATGCAACAGTTTTTTTTCGTGTTTTCCCAACGATGGTTTATATTTTCGCAACAACGAAAATTTTCTGAAATCAGCAGTTTTGTCGAACAAACATTTCTGAACAAGACGGCACATAGTAGCTTTTAAAGTTGCTCGGGTTGTTCAAAAGACGTTTCTGATAGAATGATCCAGCGGTTCAAAACTGCGGTTAAAACTTTTTTAGACTAAAGAAACTTGGCATGGTGCATTTTTCAACGTCCTCCCTATACCCTATTATCCGTGCAATCTAGTACGGACCTCAGCTAGCTTCTAACATTTACTGAAAATATTTGTCCAAGATTCTCAAAAACTCGAAGGTCTGAAAATTCTCGAGGTGGGAAGTACACTTCCCACTGGGTCTCACAGGGTTAAAAAACTTCCGCCCAAAATACTCAAAAACTCAGTTACACATGTTGCAAACAACCAAAGTTTATAATGCAGCAAACTAAGGTACGCAAAAAAAGTTTAACAATCGCACCTCAACCAAAATCGCTCTAGCCCTGGCTGCCACTACCTAACGACAAAAACACACGTTCAAACAATCTTCAAAAAAAAAAACTCTCTCTGGCCCTCACCAACAACACTACAACTATCACAATCAACCCCGATAACGCACAACCCATTAACGCGCGCACCTCCACGTCTATTAATCTATCCGTTATTTGTTTGGTTTGTGTTCCATTCTTAGCACCACAATTATCACTATCCACGTCCATAACGCCGACTTCGTTAGCGACTCGTGAGTACTTTCTCGTCTTTTAATAAGAGATAAAATTTGCAAACACTCGTCAACGCCACTGTGTTGCCCTCGCCACAGGCGAGTCGACGATCTTATGATAACATTTTAAAATTATTAAAGTAGTTTGTCTCGGTAATAAACTTTAATTTAATAGCACTTATCTAGACCTTTTGATTGCACGTGCAATCTTCTTCACGAGAGCAGAGCATGAAATTAAACAGCAATCCTACGTTAGTCGAGCCGAGGTTTAGAATTTAAACTGTACGCATCTGGACGTCTCAAATCGAAAACAAAACTTCCAAAATGACAAGAAGACCTACTTCTAACCTTATGGAAAGAAGTTCTGAGTGTATGTATGATGACGACGGCGGAACAATGTGCGCCAGGAAAAGAAGCTCATCATGCGTGCTTGTTTGAGTGGAAGTAGCGCAAAAATGAAATCGATTAGAACTCCTCGCATCGGATCACCCATTAGTCAAATAAATTGTTCATTTATAGTGCGATCCTAGCCGAGAAGGATTGTTATTACATTTCGGTGGTTGATTTCGAATAGGGTCGTTTTGAAAATCAGCTTCGCCAAAGATTTTGACTGATAGAAACCAATCGAGGCAAAATGAACAGGACATTTGGAAATATAAATGTTCAACACGGTTGTGTACTTTTGACATACTTCGAAACATGATCATACTAGTTGTGTTCGATAGACTGTGCAATGTGAAAGAAAAAGCAAAGAAAACTGTCACCATCG